TTTTTTTTTTTCGTCTTCTCCCTACATCTAAAATAGAGAGGAACACTCTCTAAAATAAGGAAAAATAAAAACACTCTATTCCAATATTTGGTTCTTATTTTTCATACAAGAGATTCAATTCATTTTCAACGGTCGATACTTGATCGTCCAATTCGACATCAACATATGTATAGAGACAAAAATTTCCCACTCTTTTTTTTTTTGGTACAGGGACCTTCCGGTTTTCGAGTCCACAGGGAAACCCGGCTCGATTCGGGATTAGTCGGTTCCACTCTTTTTTATTTAGTTATGCAAACAGACCGTCACTTTTTTTATTAAGTAATTATAATAATGTTTTTTAAACTTATTTATCACATAATATTGACTATAGTATTAACCAAGTATAAATTCACACTAAACATTTATGAAAATATAGGCCCCGTTTGGAAGATAGCGGATTAAGGATAAATTAGCGGATTTGACTTAATTGAGAGGTTTGACCCGTCAAATCCGCTATTGAGATTGTTTGGTAAATAACTTATTCGATAAGCTTTTTGGGCCCAAAACTCTAATTTAAAAAAAGCTCATTAGAGGAGCTTTTTGGGGATAGAGGATTCACAATCTACAATTTTAATTTAAAGTTTTTTAATTTGTATTATTTATTTTACAATCTACATTGGTTTATGATGCTAACAAATAATAATATGTCATCCATATGATTAATTTATCTAGAAAAATGTAAAATTATAACTTCTTAATCAAGTGTTAGTAATTTTTTTTTAAAAAAATATATAATTACCAACTAAAAAATAATAAATGTTTTAATATATTATTATTAAAAAAAAAGAATAATAAAATGTCCTTATTGGTAATTTGAAATGTCAAACAACTATAAGCTTTCAGCTATTTACCAAACACTTATTTAAAAACCGCTAATGTAATCCGCTAGTCAAATCAGCTAATATAATCCGCTATCCGCTATCTGCTAATACAATCCGCTATCCGCTATCCGCTATCCGCTGATCGCCAAACAAGGCCATACACTTATAAGAAAAGAAATTATAGAAAAAATATTTCTTTAGTTTTTTTTTTTCAAATTAATATAATCATTTTATTTTTGTCTTAGCAACCTTTTTAGCTAATTGATTTAATGGAAATTAACAAACCCTTTGAAACTACATAAATAATTTCAATAATAATAATAATTTTTTTTTTTTTCAACCAACTAATAGGTTTGTATCTTAATTTTAAAAGCACATTATTCACTATATTTTATGACATTAATAACTTTTTATTTATATATGTCAATATGTGCTTATATACAGGCTTGAGATTAGTTTAATAGAAAGGCTGAAACCGGTCAACTGTGTAATATGTAAACAGCTAAATCCAATAGAATCAATAGGGTTCTTTCAAATATCTGCAGAGAACTGAATGAGACAGTCAATTTAGCTATCAAAGATTGGATTGAGTTTCATGATTTGCACAAGTCCTAGTTAGTACTTTTCTTGATTTAGTGCTTAGTTTTTTCAGTTTGTTGCTCTAATGTTAGTTTTGTTTGTTGTTTTGAAGTCTAACTAGGTCACGGTGACAGTGGTTAATCTCTTTTGGCACCTTGGGGCTTCGGGTCGTTTAGATTCATCTTAAGAGCAAACTCTCCGGATTCTCGGTCCTTCTTTGATGGTGACTATGCTCTTAATGATTTCGGGGTCCTCTTACCTGAGGATGGATAACTGTATTCGAGCTAGTTAGCTCGTGGATGTAAATATTCTTTTGGAGCATTATATATATATATATCCTGTCGTTTCGAAAA